TATCCTCTGTAGGTAACCAGGGATGTTGAACCGCTGTAGGGCCTCTAGCGTGCGGCTCCAATCTGCCGAGTTAAAGGCGTTCCTTATGTCAAGTGTCACCACGAGACAGTAGGATTTGGATCCTCCTCTCCATCTGGAGCCAGCGCATGCTTCCTCTGCCGTTTTGACCACCTTGGAGATGGCGTCCAGCGTCGACTTCACCTTCCTGAACCCGTATTGCTCCGGGGATAGGCCGCCTGCTGCTTCGATGGCTGCGCTCAGCCTCGTGGCGATCACCTTCTCAAAGACCTTCCCTATCGTGTCCAGGAGGCAGATGGGCCTGTACGAGGATGCCTCACCCGGCGGCTTGCCCGGCTTGGACAGCAAAAGGAGCCGTTGCCTCTTCCACCTCGATGGAAACGTACCCTCGTGTAGGCATCTGTTGAACAGACCCATGACCTCGCTTGGGATCAGCGCTAGTGCCAGCTTCGTCGCTCGGTTGGGAATCGCGTCCGGCACGCGTCCTCCAGCACTACTGGGTCTGTCGGGGCTCTGCTTCCGGCGTTGATGTTCTTTACCACCATCTTGTAGGCGCCTCCCCAGGGGTCCTCCTCTGCGGCGTCGCACAGCTTGAGGAAGCACTCTCTTTTGCTGTCTCTGATGGCGGTCTTCAACTCCTTCCGCGCGACTTTGTATGCCTCGCAGCAAGTCACTAGACGCGGNCTGGCTCGTTGGAGCTGTCTTCTCGCTCTGTGGCAGATTTTGCGGAGCTCGGCGATGTCCTCGTTCCACCAGAAGACTGGGGCATGGTGTTTCCCAAACGCACTTCGCTGTAGCATGCTCTGGTCACAAGCCGCTTCCACTGCCTCCCCCAGCTGGGTCGCCCACTCGTTGGCTCCACCGGTCTCTGGTGCCGTGTGGGCACGGAGGGCGCTTGCGAAGGCCTGTGTCCTCAGCGTGGCCTGCCGATACGCCTTCCTATTCTGGGTCTGAGTAGGGGCTGCTCTTCCTGGGTCCGGTTCGCCAAACACGCACTCGATGGCCTCGTGGTCGCTAGCGGTGTAGGCGTTGCTGATTTTCCAACAAGCGGTGCTGGCCAACGCCCTGGCGAATGTGAGGTCGATGACTGACCCCATGCCTCCCCTGCTGAACGTTTGTTGGTGTCCTTCATTGAGCAGCACCATGTCCAAGGTGGCGAAGGCCTCCAGCACCGTGCGTCCTCTAGCGTTGGTTCGGGAGGACCCCCACTCCTGGGCCCAGGCATTGAAGTCGCCCCCGACCACGACGACGCTTCGTCCTCGCAGGTCTCCGATCAGCTCGTCTATGATGCGGCTGAAGGTCTCCAGCGGGAGGCTGGGCGCCA